GGGGGGGGGGGGGGGGGGGGGCGGGACAGATCAAGGCCCTCCAGTGAGGGAGGAAGGGGACTGGGACTGAGGCAGGCACTGTCAGCTAGGGCAGAGCATGTGACAGAGTTGTGAGCGGCTTACACAGGGGGCACAGGGAGGTGGGGAGGGGGCAGCCCCAACCACTGTATGCACCCCCAGGCAAGCATGTGGGGAGTATGCTCCCCCTGGATCTGTGCATGGGCCAAGGGCAGGCTGCCATTGCAGGCTTGCCCTGGACACCAAACTTCCTTGCTACAGCACTGCTTACACTGTCTCCTATCTTTCAGCGCATCAAAAAGGAACATAAAAGTTCTGGTTGCCTGTTTACTACTCTTTCCTCCACCTTCAAGATTTTGCTGGTTAATAAGAAAGCACAATGCTCTCTGGAGTTGACAGCGTTTGGCCTGAATGTGCAATTTACACTATGTAAATTGTATGACTCAGCAGAGAATTGCAGAGAGCAGTGTTAGCAGGCGTACAAAGAGTTATTGTGGGGTGTTTCAGAGCAATGCAGTGGTTTCTGGTAAAAACAAGGTACGGTAATACTGATGCTTTGCATATCTAGCATAATTACAAATACTTTAATTACGTTTGCTCCTATAGTTTTGTCACATACTCAGGTGAGTCCTTAAAAGCTGAGTTCATGTATATGGGTGGGTGGGTAATCCATGGGATATGCCTGTCAGCCACTGGAATGTAAATTGCTCTGGCTGACATTTGATAGACGGAGTCCTTCCAGGACAAGCAGGATGTGTGTCTGTATAAAGTTAATGGGCTGTCTGAAACTGGCAACCATAATATTGTATGAGCCACCAGGCAAAACTGAAGTCATTAAAGTCCTTACTCAAAGGAAATAGCAGATATGACAACAGTATGTCAAACAGAGTGTGTTAGTTTGTTCTCATGTTGCTGGATTGCCTAACAGTACAAAAGCCAGCAACAGGGTGGTGGCAGGCCAGGAACAGGTGAGTAAGAGTAATTATTCCTGAACTTCCTTGTGTTAATCCAGGAAGGATTGAACTCACACAGCGCAGCAGTTGAGCACCTGTGAACCATACAATTTGTTTTAAAGAGCATGAACATCAAGAACAGGCCCATTTTGTGAACAGGGTGGGGCATGGATTAAGGGCAGAGGTTTCATTTTATGGTGGTCACCCTGAAAAACACCCATTTTAAACATTATACTAGTTAAAACCCTTGAAAAATATGCATGCATGATGGTGGGAGGGCCTGCTGGGTCACAGCAGTGTGAAAGTCTCAGCACCATCCTACCAGCCAGAGGCTCAAAGTCCTGCTAATGTTGGACTTTTACATCCGAGATTGTTGTTGTGCGATTTGGGAGTGTTCAACATGGTTCAGTCTGCATTGCCAGTCTCAGTACTGCTCTCAGCTCGCTGCGGCAGTACTGCAACAGCCTCCAAACAGCTCTGATGTGTGGAGGGGGCCTCTGGTCTGAAGATCAGCACTGTTGGAAAATGGACATATATAGGTTTCCGTCACCAACAGCTGGGGTTATGTTCCTGAAAGTTCTTGTGGTTGGCAAAACTGTGGTTGGTAAGATAAAAGGCTTATGGGAAAAATGGCAGGTGGTGGGCTGGTGCACAGCCATGGAAAACCATAGTTACTGAAAATTGTATGCCTTGGTAGCCAAAATGGTACATAGAATATTAAGTGTGGATACTCAAGACCATGGTTAGTGAGGGAAACCTATACTGTCCTCCTATTTCTGCCTGAGCGAACTTCAGCTTCTTATTTCTGCTGCCCTGCATCAGTGTCCACGGTGCTCTGGGCCCTTTCTCTCTTGCCTGAGGAAACAAGCCTGCTTGGTGCTAGAAAGCGATGGAGTTTGGCTGGTGATCAGAGTCGGGTTTGGGCAGGGTTCAAATTCAGGAGAAGGGAAGAAGTCCAGGCTGCAGGGTTGTTGCTTGTAGCTGTCAATCTAAAGACACAGGCAAGGTTCTTTGTGTAGATGTGATATTACAACTCGAGTGTCCAGGGTCTGGAACAGACTCCCCCAGAGGTGGTACAACCACCTACTCTGAATATCTTCAAAAAACTTCTGGATATTCACCTTGCTGGGGTCATCTGATCCCAGCAGTCTTTCCCACCCATGTGCAGAGGGGCTGGACCTGATGATCTCGAAAGGTCCCTTCCAGCCCCCAACATCTATGAATCTTTTCTCAGACCAACTGAATACTTGGAGAAAAGTTCTTTGCAAGCTTTCCGACACAAACACCCTTCTTCAGGCAGTGAGAGTCCGCTACCTCTGGGCTGAGCGACCCGTCATACCCGCGAGAGGCTGGGCTTTTTCGAGGGGAGGCAGAGCAGAAGTGCTGGGGCCGGGGACCCAAAGGGATATCTTGGGGGCTCCCAGGGCAGGGCTGCGCCTTCCAGACAAGTGGTGGAGTCGTGAGGGGGGGCGGTCCCCAGCCCCGGGCGGGTCCCCCACGCCCCTCCGCGGGCGGCTCCTCCCCCGGGCCGGGGCCGTCCAGCCCGGGAGGCAGCACCTGCCCCGCCGGAGCGGCTGAGGAGCGGAGGGCGAGAGGCAGGGAGGCAGGATGCAGCTGCTGGCGCTGGCGCTGGCGCTGGCGCTGGCGCGGGGCGGCGCGGAGGCGGGCGCGGAGCCGAGC